GCTATTGATGAGTGATTTTGTTTCTTTCAGCTTAGAGTTCACTGCAAGTTTAGGAATTTAAGAAATAAGGAATTTGACCTTCTGGCTGTACCAAACACACAGCAGGTTCAGTTTCGGAAGTGGAGAATGGCGAGATGGGCCAGCTTCTTGCATGTTATGAGTTGTTTTCCCTACATGAATATGTCGTTCCCCACTCACTTCAAATTGGATTCACCTTTGTGGAAGCGATGCACCTAGGAAGCCCGTGAAGTCATGCAAGAAGGGGATGGCCAATGGTTTAGCTTCAACTTGAAGGCCTCTTCCCTTGTATTGCTAGAGGGAAAGAACTTGCCTTCGCACCTCACCAAGCTCAACAATGTCAACCACCCTGTGGAGCTGAAGGCTCTCATGACTGACCTCGAAGACCTTGGCGAAGCGACTCGATATGTGAAAGACTAAAATTGTTATTTTGCTTTTGGCTCACAAATTGATGAATCGAAGTTATTTTGTTGTAAGATGTTGTAAGTCTTGCTGGAAATGTGAAAGTACAATGACCCAGAAACTAGAGACTTCTCAATGAAGGCCTTTCCCAGCTTTAAACTAATTGTTACCCGCTACGCTCAGGACATTCTTTCTGAGTAGAATCTTTGCTAGAGTCCTCCCTTTGTCCCTTCGTCAATCCAGCCAGGTCAAAGTCACTCTCTCCCACCACCAGTCGAAAGACAGCGATTTTTCATCGTGTAAAGATTTGGTCTTTTGCCTCGACGATGTGAAAGACCCTGCTGTCAAGAAGGAAAGCGGAAAGAAGACTCCTGCAGGCCCTAATGCAAGAACCTTTGGAAGCCTGGCCTCCATCACAAAGATCAAGAGCACCAATGACACATTGGTTGTTGCCTGGAGGTGCAGGCCAGGTGCCTGAATTAAGTATTGCCCATAATTGCTAAGCTGTTTTCTTTTTGGGTGGTGGTGGGACTAACAAACAAAAACAAACTTGTCAGGTTGGATTGCTCTGGGAAGGACGGCTACAAAGTCATCACGCCCATCCGGCCCATTTGCTGCCTCAAGAATAGCCTGGAGGTATCCGACGCCAACCTTCGCCTTATGTGAGCTTTTGTGAGATAGGCTGTGGAGCGGTTCAGCATATGAGCAATCATTTTGTGGTTTGCCAGATGTGTTTTTCATTGAACTTCAGCCCAACTTTAATTGAACTGTTTAAGGACAACGGTAAAGTCTCGATAATGTTGAACCTTTCTTCGTGGGGGTCATCACAAAAAGAACAGTCTTCAATCTTGATGTGGTTCAATACCTATCAAATATATCTATAGCTTTATCCTACATCATGTTGATGAGAGTCATTGAATGTTCTCTTAAATGCTTTCAATGCATTTGTCAAACCTAGCAGTGCCCCCCACTGAACTGGGAAGCCGCGCAAGTCCCAAGAAGGACTGTGGGATCCAAACTGCCTCGCAAAGCATTGGCTGATATCATTGAATCATGCCATAGGTGATCATGCTCTCGGTTTTGGTTTGACCCTGGGGACCAATGCAAAGAGGCCCTGGAAGTAGACAGCGGCTCTGATTTTGGCCAAATCCGCAGCATACCTCATTGCGACCAGTACCAGTGAGACATGAGATGCCAAATACACGAAAAAAATGAGTCATATTCCCTGATTCAGTGAGAACATGATATTGGGCAGCAATATCAAAGTATGCATTGCGCTTTTGATGTATGCTTGCCAATGCTCATTGCTTGCCACAGCAGCATCTTGGTCTCAACTTTGGGAACTACTTCTTTCCCTTTCAGTGCGACCGTGGGCAGAATGGGGGACTCCGATTCGGATAGCGTCCACGAAGTGCCGTTAACGACTTGTCTCCGCGTTCCTGCCCCTTGGATCATGTTTTGTTCTTTTAAGACTACTTGAACTTTCTTGTAAAATCTTGTGCAACACTTAGATGGCCTGAAGTAACAGCTCTTGGACCTATGGATTCATTTGCTCGCCCAGGACTTCAATCTCCAACGGCTTTTATCGTCGAATAACCTTCGAGAAACCGATACGCCACCATCTGCTCCACGGCCGCCATCCTCGCGTCCACCAGCCTCGGCAGCCAAAGCTTCAGGTTCAGCCCAAACTTCAGCACCTGTAGCAACAGGCAACTGATTTGTTTCTCCCTTGTGCATGGAAGGACTGTAGTCACTGTAGTTATTAAATAATGTTTCCCTTTTGAGCATTGAGATTGGTTTGACCCTTGTTGCAGGGGATGGGCATCAGCACAAGCTACCTGACCGGGTTCCTACATCTGAGGAGTCATCAGCCAATAGTCCAGATGGTGGGCAAGACTCAAAGACCAAGGGGGCAGACTCAAAGTCAAAAGGGAAGGAAAAGGAATCAAAAACGGGAAAAGGAAGAGGGCGGGGCAAAGGGAGCAAACCCAAAGAAAGCAAGAAACGTAAACAGGATGGCAATGGGGAGGAGGACGGTGGCAGTGATGACCCGCTATGTCCATTGGGTGGGTCTGGTGGCAAAGACACTGATCCGGATCCTAATGGTGGTGGTACTGAGAAGGGCAAAAGGTCCTCAAGGAATGGTCCCAAGGCAAAATCGTCCATGAAAGCTCCCAAACCTCGAGCAACACCACGAAGGAGGCCATCAAAAGCTGAAAACAAGGAGGGGTGTTTTACCGTGGTTTCTTTTGCTGGCCTTTGCTTACTGTAACTGCAACAGTTTTTCGAGCAGGAGAATGCTGCGTCACCTTCTGATGATGACGTTCAGGGTGCGAGCCCTTTGCCTTTTGCGCATATGATCGAGAACACCAATGATCAAGAGTGCCTTTGGCTCCTATTGTGTGCTTCTTCCCTGAATGGAAGTGTTCAGTCGATTAAAACTGATTTCAAGCCCGATGTCTAAGCCCTCACACTCAGGGCGACCGATGAGGATCACAACCCAGCCGCTTGGTTCAACGACATGCAGCCAAAAAAACTGAGGGTTGTATGTATGAGCTCTTGAAAGAAAACGACACTCTGCTTGTCTCGAGTCTCGACCCTATTATCCTAATGTTGCATTGGTTCTCCATCTCTCTCCATCCCAGGATGCAGGCCTGGAGGAGGTTGCCGAGCCAATTGAAGAAGACATTCCTGAGGATGTTTGGCATGATTCTTGGAAGCTGTCAACCAGAGTCAACCAAGGTTGGAAACCAACAGAAATGTATGGAAAGCGTTGGAAAGTGTCAATCAAGATTGGCTCCAGCGTGTGTTTGGCTTTAGGATTGCACGGTGCGTGGCGGTGGTGACTATGTCATGCAACACCAGGAAATCTGTCAGGGTGTGGCTTTGCCAAGCCTATATCCTTACAGTTGAGTTAATTGTGAAATACGTGAGTCACAAACATATTATATAGTTATATATACCCTTCCTATATATAATTACAGTACAGCCTACAGCTCCTTTCCTTCTAAGGATGAATCAAACTTGGAGGATGGAGATCCTGGGCATGAGGATGGCGGGGCATATATCACCTACGAAGCCGCAGCCCTTGCCCTTGGAGCAGTTGAGTCCTGCCTTGGGGAGATCAATACCTTTGCAGCACAGCACCAAATTCCCATGGTTGTCAATGATGACACGCGTGATGCCAACCCTTCCGATCTACATGAATCATCCATGGAAATTGGAGATGGGCAACATGAAGCTTTGCCCAATGGATCCCTTTCTGATTTCTCAGAACACATGGAGACAAACAATGAGCACATTGCTGCAAGTCAACGTGAAGGTGAGCGTGAGGAACTCTTGCAAAAAATCGAAGAGTTGGAGAAGATCATCGCTGATGAAGAGAATGGTCAGGAAGAGACAACAAATCAGGAGAGTGGTTCCCCTGGTGTACCCATGGCCCATGAACATGGGGATGCAAACCCCGGGAGCCATGATGACCCGGAACAGGGAAAGTGCAAAAAAACCGCCAAGAGATCTAGCCAAGTTCAATCAGGTTCCAGCAATCCGGCCCAAGCTAAACGCAAACCCAAGACCAAAGCAATGCCCAAGAAATCGATCAAGAAGCGTGTGGATGAGGTGTCTGTGAAAAAGAAACTTCACAGTGTCGCTGGGCATTGGGAGCGTATTAGTTTTTGAGTTTTGACGATGTGTTATGAATTGTTTCGGCTGCTGCTCCCTCCGTTTCTTCCCATATATTTGTATATACACATCCACTTCAATTCCTTTCTCCTATTTTCCTATCGCTTGATGGAGTACTTTCATACAGTTTCTTTCCTCTCACGTCCTTCCTTCTGGGCCATCCTAGGTCTACAGCTGTGCATATAGCAAGGCCGCAAGACAAGGAGATCCAAACGCTCAACAGGTGGCCTGGGATGCCAGAAAGGAGCAACTCACCTGGCTTTACTTGAACCAAACAATCAAACAATTACAAACTCGCCTGGCTTTGCTTGAACCAAACAATTACAAACTACCCCTCGGTGCTTTGTGCATAGTGCATTATCCAAGGTATATCATCGAGAATGGCTACACTGAGATGCCATTGGTTCAGAACTTCTTGAAGTGATGCCAACAACAAACTGTTTGCGTCCAAGTTTCAATAGTTGGCACAACAGACCGCAAGGGGTTTCGCGGAAAAAGAACTTGAGCCAAATAATCTGCGAATGTTATCTAATCTCAAGACCCAGTCCCCAATTAGAAAGGACCTGGAACCAGTTGGCGCTGCATTATAGTTATATGATATATATATTATGTTTGTTTGTTCGTCTCACAAAGTAGTTTGAACCTTCTTTCTGCTGATACAACCAGTTCAGCATGGAAAGCCTTGCGTCTTCCGGTGCGAACAATTCATTCGAGCGAACCTTCATTCTGGCTCAGTTTCTTTGCACTTTGACAGTCTTCGTGGTTTCCCTACATCCCCCCCCCTGCCCTTTTCTCCTCTCCCATCACCCCAGCGCCTCTTTTCCGCCCACCGCTCCCACCCCGCCTCCCACCCGCGCGCGGATTCGAGCGCCCCCCTCGCCGGTCGGACCCGCGCCGAGGCGATGAAGAAGGAGGTGGACGCTTTGCGTCGCTTGCGCCACCCTCGCCTCGTGCGCTTCTTGGGCGCTTGCGTGCAGCCTCCCCTGCTGCTCGTGGTCACGGTGCCGGGAGGGCGGGGGCGGGGAAGTCTTGGGAAGTCTCACGGGGATTAGACGTGATGATGGTCTTCTCTATTCGAGGTGGCCTTTTGTGGTGTTCAAGCATGCTTTTTGATGTTTGTGTATGCTGTTTCCTGGACGAAAACTTGTTGGATGTGGAATTGTCCATCATGGGACACTACTAGAACTATTAGAAACAGGAGCAGGGGCCCGTAACATCCCTCAAAGACGGGGAGCCCGGGAGACGTAATTCTCCTACACTCTAAAACCGCCTGTGGCTTCCTCTCACGTTTAAGCCCCTTATTAGAGGCTACAAGAGGCCTATGTTGAGGGTTGAGGAAGCCACAGGCCTTTTAGAGTGTAGGACAATTACGGTCTCCCGGGCCGCCCATTTTTGAGGGACGTCACAGGCCGTTTCAGAACACGGAGAATTTCACTTTATAGTGTGTAGCAGACTTGTGTTGAAGAAGGCCCCCAGCAAGCTACTGAGAAGCACACAAGTCGGCTACACACAGAACATGCCAGGAGAAGGTGAGGAAAACTAAGAAGAAGACGAGGACACAGATTGCAAAGCAACAAAGATCGAGAAAGGAAATAGCAGAGCAAGGCACGCAACCAGAAGAAACAAACTAAAGGAAGGGCATTCACAAGACCACAAAGATCACAGTAAAAAAGCAATGAACGCAGAGGGATGAGAAGGAAGAGAAAAAACCGGAAAGAAACCATCGTAGACAGAAAGGTGAGCGAAGAAAAGAAACACAATATATATATATATATGGTCACCCCCCCCGCGCCCTGACATGCTGTTTGTATTGAAATTTACAGTGTTTTATGCATATTTGTTTGTATCACAAAATAAAGCAAAAAAGTGCTACATGGTACCCTCCTTCACTAATATTCAGCCTTTTAATATAATATGCTTCAAAATACAAGAAAAATAATACCACAGCAAAACCAAAAAAACAAAAAACAGCCTCATTGGAGATCTTGGGGAGGGCCCCTTGGACAAAAAAAACATCACCTCATGGGAGATCCTCCTATCCTCATAGTTTTTTTGTTTTGATGTTTTTGGATATCCTCCTATCCTGATGTTTTTGGCTTGTTTGGCTTTTTTAGTGTTTGTTTTTTTGTGTTTTTCCCCACCTGCCAGGTGAGGGTTGTTAGATTTTATCACAGTTGTTCTTCCTCCGCCTCCGCCTCCGCCTCCGCCGCCTCCTCGTCCTCCTCCTTCCTCCTTCCTCCTTGCTTCCTTCCTCGCCAATCTTCATCGCCAATCTGCTTCGCCGATCTTGTCTGGCCAGCTCCGGATCGCAGTGTGCACCCCTGGACCTCAACCGCAAGGATCCCCTCGCAGTGTGCACCCCTGGACCTCAACCGCAAGGATCCGATCGCAGTGTGCACGCCTGGACCTCAACCGCAAGGATCCGATCGCAGTGTGCACCGCTGGACCTCAACCGCAAGGATCCGATCGCAGTGTGCACAGCTGGACCTCAACCAGATAGTTTGCCAGATAAAATCCACAAACACACAATCACAAACACACGACCACAAACGCGCAACCACAAACACACAACCACAAACACAATCACAAACCCACAATCACAAACACACAACTACAAACGCAACTACAAAGACACAATCACAAACACATAACCACAAACACAAAACCACAAACACACAACCACAACCACACAACCACAAACACAATCACAAACACAATCACAAACACAATCACAAATACAATCACAAACACACAACTACAAACACAATCACAAACAAACAGCTACAAACACAACTACAAAGACACAATCACAAACACACAACCACAAACATACACACAACACACAACCACAAACACACAACCACAAACACACAAACACACAACCACAAACACACAACCACAACCACAACCACAAACACATCCACGAACACAACCACAAACATCCCGGCGGATCTAAAACCGCGCGTGCGTTTTCGCACGCCAACTTCAGAGGTGTTGCAAATCGCAAAAAACAATGGAAAAGAGGGTTTGGAACCTCTTGTAAATCGGAAATTCTGTGTCCAAAACTTGGACCAAAATTCGCTTGAAACACGAAAAACCTGAGAAAACACACATGTTCACCGATTCGATCGGAACCTTTTCACAAAGTCGATCGGTCCAGCTCAGTGTGCACGCAACGTGGAGGCTGTCACTGTGAACAGCCCAGCGGTTTTGTTTTCATAGCGCCATTGCCACCAACGCAACCACAACATCACATCCTTGTTCTTCCCTTTCTTTGTCAACATGTTGCTTGGCAAAAAAGCTTTTGCTTGCTTCCAGCAATTGTCAACCTTTCCAGTGTGCACTTTCAGTACACCCAATGGCCCACGGTTCACTTTGCGGACCCACACATGCTCACACAGTAATGAAAACTGTTTTGCCGAGAAAAAATATTCACATGCACAGAATTATACATACATATGCAACGTCACAGGAACGTCAACATGCCCCCCCCACCCCAACCCCCCCCCCACCCCGTGCAACGTCACCAGCATAGCACAACGTAGCATCCAACCCAGTGTGCAACGTCACAGGAACGTCAACATGCCCCCCCCCACCCCAACCCCGTGCAACGTCACCAGCATAGCACAACATAGCATCCAACCCAGTGTGCAACGTTAACCTATATGTGTGAGACGCAACGTCAAGATGCAACATAGACGCATACATATATATGGGAAATTGCACAAAAACATCCAAAACGCACGTACGGTTTTAGAGCCGTTAGCACAAACATACACACAACACACAACCACAAACACACACACAAACACACAACCACAAACACACAAACACACAACCACAAACACGCAACCACAAACACAACCACAAACACAAACACAACCACAAGTACAAACACACAATCACAAAGACACAACCACAACCACAACCACAACTACAAACACATAATCACAAAGACACAACCACAACCACAACTACAAACACATAATCACAACCACTACCAGTGCCACAAACACAACCACAAACACATCCACAAACACACAACCGCAAACACAACTACAAACACACAATCACAAAGACACAACCACAACCACAACTACAAACACACAATCACAAAGACACAACCGCAACCACAACCACAACAACAAACACACAATCGCAACCACTACCACAACCACAAACACAAACACAAACACACAACCACAAACACAACACAGCACACAACCACAGCACACAACCCGAGGACCCAGAAGCAACATCGAGAACTACAATACTGACGACTATGGCAACATGCTCCTCACTATGGCATCAAGACAAATGATTGAAATGTCATGGTGGGGATCACTCGAAGTAAAGTAATTTTGTTTTTGTTTGTTTCTTGTCTTACTTTCTATCGCCCAAAAAACCGAAAACTGTGATGTTGGCGCAGCCTTAGTCCATCAACCCTCGTTTGCTCTTTGTTCTTCTTTCCTTGCCATTGCTTTGGTGGCTTGCGCAATTGCTGCGGCGAAGCCGAAGCAATCTCCGAAAGACGACTGGGAGTACCTTATCTGAATAACTGCTTGCCAAGCAACACTTATTTCAAATTCACATCACTGCCTGCATTCAAGTCTACAAGCTTTATTCTTTTCATTCCATACCAGGTCGGACAGTATGGAGATGGACACCAGCGATGCGGAGTATCGTGTCTAAGCCATGTTTGTTTGGCGTTCTCTGGCCTATAGCCTTCTGCTCATGTCACCCCATCTCAGGCTGGACGCCATGGACGTTGATGTCAGCGACGGGGAGCCTCTTGGATAATCCGCGGTATGATCTGCATAGGGCACCTTCCTTGCACACCTGTCACCTCGCACGCCTCAGGGCTGACTTTGTGGATGACGTCGGCAACATGGTGCCTATGATTCCGCCGCACCTTTGGGGGAGATGGTTGCAGGGCGTCTTGGCTTCGCCATTGCCCGTCACTCCTCCGTTTTCACCGGGACGCCCCCAGGTGCTTTACCGGCCACCCCCCCTGAAGCCTTTGTGACCACTTCCCGTGGCATGCTTGGGGGGGCATAGTGGATTTGCAAGCCCCACTTGACAAAAAGGAGCGCCGACGAGCGTTGGGTCATGTTCAAACTTGTAGCTCTCAACTCACAGTAAACCAACAAAATTGCATCAACACATGTCCTTTAAGTGAGTATACATAATGTCTGTTGTCTGCATCATGACTTCACTGCAATGCAAATGTTATGTCTGCTTCTGTGCTTATACCACTGTCTGGCTGCAACTGCTTGTCTCAATCCCTTTGAGTCTGATATTCTTGCAAGTGTCTACCTTCCTTTGGCCAAGCATGGTTTCCATCGACCCCGGCAACATCAGGCTGCAGGATGCCATTGACGCCACCGTGGCTATGTCGCTTCGCATATCTGGCTTCTCCATCACCTTTGCATTTGCTGCCATTTCCACTACCGCTCCATAGTCAATATGTCCGACAGACACACACACGCCAAATCATTACCAAGGTTCCACATTCAATATGTTTGTCAAGTGCCCGTTAAACCAATGACAATACCCCATCTCCAATGTGTTTGCAGCCCTTCACAAAAGCAATGCAACCATCCACAAAACCAATGCAACCATCTACAAAACCAGTCCAACCATCTACAAAACCAATGCAACCATTCAGAAAACCAATGGCTTGAAACTGACGATTTGGTTGCTTTGGGGAGGTCGTGGGGTGGGGGCTGAGCATGTATATACATAAAAGAAAATAACATAGAGGGCACAGAGAGACAGAGAGAGAGAGAGAGCACAAACAAAGAACGAGGCAGCGCAAACAAAGAACGAGGCAAGGCAGAACTATTACAATCTACAAGGAGATGACATGACAAAATGAAGAAGTAACAGATACCCAAGTAAGGTCACGAAACGAAGCCGACACCAGTTCTAAGTACCAATAGTTTTACATATAATGGTTTATAGACATCTTCGCTCAGGCTTCTCTTTCTCAGGCTGTGGTGACGCTGGATACACGTGGCGGATACTGCAACACTGGCGTCTCGGACCCCTCGTCGTCATGAGCGGTCACATGCACCCTTTGTTTTTTCCGAGGTTTGTGGACGGTACGCCAGGTTCGCCCTTGCCCAAGACCCAGGCTCAAGCCATACTATATGTCTCCTTATACTTGGGACACTTACAACTCCAGTTAGGACACTATACGTAAGCCTGAAGGTTCACATCTTAACTTGCACTTCAATAAGTCCGGATAAGCAAAAAATATACAATAAGTATGTTGAATGTTGAATTTTAGAACAATTTGTTGGGGTTAGTTCTACCAGAAGATGTTAGATATATATATTACAGTAGATACTTGTTTTAAGCCAAATGCAAGTGCATTACAGGCAAGAGATAACTTGGATAAGAAGTAGCTACAGCTACATGATTGGAAGTTAAACATATAGTAAGAGTTTGTAAGATCAAGCAAGTTAGTAAACCAAATGTATGAGTCACAACCTGCTATGGTGTGAAGGAAGACAGAGACGCTGCGCAGGTATATGTATATAGGTATCAAGAACGATCGTAGGAGAAGGGACAATAACACAATGGGATGTCCTTATATTATATGAATGAACGTTGTCACCCTTTTGTCGGCCGCCCGTATAGGTTGTCGGCCCTTTGTCTGCCTCAAACGAAATTAGTAGGGAACATCTTGAACGGAAACGTCGGCCCTTTGTTGGCTCCTTGCCACGTGAAAACCTTGAACACATTTCGGGGCAAGTATTTTGTGGACCTTGCACCTGCAAGTATTTTGTGGACCTTGAAGTGCAAATTTCGTGGCAGGCGCAGTACTTTGTGGACCTTGAAGTGCAGATTTTGTGGCAGGCGCAGTATTTTGCGGACCTTGAAGTGCAGATTTCGTGGCAGGTGGAGTACTTTGTGGACCTTGAAGTGCAGATTTCGTGGCAGGTGCAATATTCTGCGGACCGTGAAATGCAAATTTCGTGGCAGGTGCAGTACTTTGTGGACCTTGAAGTGCACATTTCGTGGAAGGCGCAGTCCTTTGTGGACCTTGAAGTGCAGATTTCCTTTCAGGTGGGGTACTTTGTGGACCTGAAAGTGCAAGGTGCAGTACTTTGTCGACCTTGAAGTGTAAATTTGTGGGTCTCCTTGTGGGCTGCGATGTTGATTGGTGCTGCTTTCTTGGTTGTGGCACTTGTTGCTTCTTGTTGCATGTTGTTTCTTGCTTGCTCACGTGTCATATCATGCTGTTGGTTGAATGCTTCTTCTGCTAGTTTAATGGAAGAAACTGGAACCCTGGATGCAAACTGGAACCCAGGATAGCAGGCAAATAATTTATGTTCACCTGAGGAGAAGGCTGAACTCCTCGAACTGCTCGTACGTTGAATTCAACGGCATCCGCTGCCCATATACCACTCGCGTGCTATGTTTGTTTGCAAGTTGCCTTCCAAATGCTAAGGGTCTGATAATCTGAGGCCCAAACAATAACCCCTGTGTTCGCAATCTGCTCAATGCAAGCCCAAAGCTGCGACAAGAGATGCCCTTTTCAGTCTATGTTTTTTTGTTTTCCTTGTGTTTTTCTTTCGGTTTCCGTGTATTGTGTTGCGTTTGTCGTGTCTTGTTTTGTTTGTGTTGTATTTTTTCTTTCGTCGGGTGCAGAAAAAAATACACATGAAAATGCATCAAAAAACCTTCCAGAAACATTCAGAAACTCCAAAATCCACCCTCCAGCTCCAGGCCACCAAGCCTCCATCCCCTCCAGCCCCACCCTGCTCCTCACCGCGCGGACGGCACAGAAAACGCGCGTGCCTGTGCCTGGGCTTCGCAGGAGTTCATGGCCGGTGGCTCCTTGCACGACCGGCTCTTCGGGCGGTCTCAACTGGCGGCCACCTCAGCGCTGGGGCCCAGGCAACGGTGGCTCATTGCGTGTCAAACCGCGGAGGCGTGGAAGCGGTGGGAGGAGGAGGGACAAGAATAATATATAGAATAATACAGGGAGGGGGTTATGAACATGGGACCCATCTAAGATCATCTAAGGCATAGTGATTGTTGATAGTGTTAGGATGTGTCTTGTGATCTCACAGAAGAGGTACCGAAGATATCTCGCGCGCGAGGAATTCATCAAGTTCGTATACCACTTGGAGCAACAATCGGTGTTTTTTGGTTTTGGACAGATTTGCTGAGTAAGCTTCACTCTGCAGTTACTGGGTTTTTGCTGTTCAAACAAGTTTACACTGAATTTTTGCATGATTAAACACCATTTTGGTCGATTTTGGTCCTACTTGTCCCAAACCGAGTCAGAACTTTGCGAGGCTCCTCCCCAACCCCAACCCCTGTTCAGCGGCCCTCAGGGTTTGTCCTTCCTCCACTCACAGCGCGTGGTGCATCGGGACCTGCCGCTTGGCGATCATCGGGTGGAGTTTGGGATCATCGGGACCTTTTCATTCTCGCCGCTATGATCGCAGCTGCGCAGTGGATCGCAACAGACAGCATTGGGCCAGTTGGCAAGAGAAAGAACAAGCACGAGAAAGAACACCTTCTTCAGCACAAAAACCGTTTTTTTTCAGGATATGGTAGAGGCTTAAAGAAAGTTTCCGGTGACGGTATTGTCATTTGTGGCATCAGTTGTGCTCTATTGTGCCCTATTGTTCCAACAAAAGTTTCCACACAAAAGGGTTTGCGCAACTTTCCATGGCGGCTTCAGATCGGACCATTGTCACTATCGATGTTGGTGGCAAAGAGGTTGTCAAAGTGAGGAAAGAGTTGTTCAGCGTGCTTGGGGACAACAAGTTTGCTTCCATGTTGTCGGACCGTTGGCAAGATCAACTTGATGCTGAAGGGCGTTTATTCGTTGACTATTCACCTCAAGTCTTCTTGCCACTGATTGAATTTCTACGTTTGGCTCGAGATTCAGAGCCTGAGATGCCAGCACCAGTGCTTGTGGATGTTGCTTACCGTCGTGCATGGATCCGCATGATGGTTATGTCTTCCTTCCATCCAAAGGTACTTCGCAAGGCTGGTGTGACGGGCCAGGAGCTTCGTGACTACTGTGGATGGAATGCCAAGCAGGTCTGCGAAGCGGGATTCACAGTTGCAGAACTTCGATCAGGAGAAGCAAGCAGAGGCCTTTTCGGCCGGGCACCATCATCTCTATTTGCCCTTCAGGAACTTCAAGAAGCAGGATACTCTCCTCAACAGTTTAAGGAGGCTGGGTTCCAGGCAAATCAGTTGCAGGAGGTCTTCACAAGACAGCAGCTGATTGACGGTGGATTCGACTTTCCACCTAGCAAGGGAACAAGTAAGGGTTGGTCTTAAAGAGACATTGAGCTGCAGTGCAGCTGCGATTTTGTTCGCCTCCAATCCATTGCGCTGCCGCGCAGGTTCAAAACCAGGCTTTCGCCTGAAATTCGCTGCTGGGGTCACCGTCCGCAGGGTCCAAAGAGAAAATGCGGCCGGAACTTTCGAGAGGAGATGGAAGCTATGGGTATTGATCATCCCAAGCACCTAACCAATGGATAGATTGGATTAGATTGGTCTATGTATGTCTATGTTTTTTCTTCCAGGTGTTCGAACTGGGAGATCTCCCTATTTTGATTCACTCTCAAAATGTGCGCAGAGGTTACAAAAGAGGATCCTCAACTTTTCTCATGGGCCAAACACGTAGAAGTCACCTGAAGCCAAGTCCAGCAAATGCCTGTCCCTCCGTCCTCCCGTTTCAAGCATTCCGCTGGAGCACATCATGTCCCAAGCCAGTCTAAGGAGGCAACAAACAGCAAGAACTATGTGTCTGGAGGCAAACAACAATCGCTGTCACCGTCTTTAGCGAATGGGTGACAACAAGTCTGCAGGAAAAAGCTCAAAGCGGAGTAGAGTGCGCAGTAGTTATTGTCATCTAACAAGTTGGGGTTGACAGCTGCTGCTGACAGCTGCTGACAGCATTCTTCGAGACACAACATTCACCTGAAGTCTCGTTTTAGGACGATTTGTAATACCTGCAATCCAGGTATGTGTTCTGCACCACTCCGCACCCATGAGATCATACCACTTTGACTGCCCTCTTGTGGTGTGCTTCCTGAGGAAGTCCATGAATATACTGCTGGACGCTGGACAGAATGCGAAGATCTGCGATTTTGGCCTTGCCCATCAGATGTGCATGGAGTGCCCTGGTGATTGTGTTTTTTGGTTCGTTGACTCGATTCCCCCAGGGTGGGGGGGGGGGTGAAATTCCCATATCATATTGGACAATATTCGACATATGTCATGAGATGTCATCAGCAACTATTGGCAACTTCATGAAGAGTTCTCTTGAACCTCGTTTCACAAAACGTGGCCTCCCTCAGGGTGCTTGTTGTTCCTTTGCAGCGCAGCTTGAGCATGTTATCTCAGGGTTCCGACATGCGACACTGATTTCAGTACGACAAGGCAAAAAGGCTTCGGACCAACTATGTCTCCCAAGATAAGCATCTTTTTCAATGTGTCTTCTGTCCCACACATGAACCAACCGAACCATCCATCTCCTCATGTTCTCGGGCTCATCTCCATCCATCTCGCTCATCCACCGACGCCCGACGCGAGATGCGAGATGCGAGACGCGCACGTGGTGGTTCGCCCCTTGAGGTCGACCCACATCGCTCGGAAGCTGGACGGGGAAGGCGGCTCCCCGCGCTACATGGCACCCGAGTGCTATGACGCCAGCGTGGGGAAGCTGACGGACGCCTGGGGCGAAAGAAGAGGGTGCTGGAAGAGGCTATGGGAGGTTGAGCAGCCCATCCTAGGCTATCCCATATGTACCACTATAGTCCCAGTTCAGGTCACTTGACCTCTCTTGGATGCTGGAAGGGGCTGATTTGGAAGTCTGATGTTGTTGTGGGGGAGCTGGAGAAGAAGCTGAAGCATGCGTGGGCGAAGGATGCATGGGCGGAGTCGGAGTACCTGGTGGGTACCTTCGTAGAGGTTTGGGTTTCGTGCCGACAGGTTTCATGCAACGGTGCAAGACACATGAATGACTGTGAAGATGAGCAGAGGGATTTATGTTTTGCTGCCCATATGTTTGGACAACTGCTGAGTCGATCCGATCAGGAGAAGGTGGATATTTGGGCCGCTGGTTGCATCCTCATCGAGCTTTGGCAGATGCGAGAGCTGGCAAGTCAACTTGTCCTTGTGTACTGGAGAGGGAACGTTCTTGTTCAATGTTGTGTCTCGGGCGATCAGTCCTGAACAAGAAATACTTCTGGTCCTGGGAAGGGAGCGTCTTCTTGACGGCCCCGTGACACGGGTCCTGACGGTGTTATTTTTGGGCATCCAGATCGTTGATGTCGTTTTTTGGGGAACTCTGAAAACTGGTCAGTTCGCTGGTCCGTTGTCAGTTTGCTGATGTTCCACTAAAAAAACCACCTTTGACCCAGACCATCCAGGAAATGGAAGATTTACCTGACGTTTAAACCGAAAAATATCACACGCAAAATTATGGATGTAGGCGTATCATGAGTCGCGCGATGACAAAAACATCGTCCCATGGATCGTTGAAAGGGGTGATGGATCGCTTGAACAGGGAGCGGAGCTCCGGAGGAGGAAGGTCTTGCTTTTTTTGGAGAGCTTGGCTAAGGAGCTTTTTGGTGGCATCCTGCCTTATGCGGACTGCCAAACCATGCCACAGCTCACGGCCAGGAGAGATCCTCACAGCTGGGGAAGACGAGAATCAAAGATTGTTTGAAAGAGTTTGGAAGCAGGGAACCAGATGAATGTGCCATGGCATGCCATGGCACTAGCTGGATTCATGAGCATAAGCTGATCTCAGCAAAGAGGAGTTTCAGGCTGTCCAGGTTTGAGCCAAAAGCATTGGCAGTCGAAACGTCCATTGTTGAGACTTGATCCTCTTCAGGTGGGTTCCATGCATTTCCATTTGCATGCTCAGACTCTTCAACAGATCGCAAGACATGAAGGTCTTGAAGACCGCTATCGACGGATCACACATATTTATAGATAGATAGATAGCTAGGAAGTAGGAAGGAAGGGGGGAAAGAAAGAAAGATAGATAGATAGATTTGCTTCTTAGTTATAGACATAGATAATCCAACAGTTTCACGGTTCACCCTTGGGTCACCCGAAGGACTCGGGGTCCGCTTCCCAACGATGTCATCGCAGGATCCTGGTGGAGAAGCGGTCGCCGGACGTACCGCCGGGCACGAACCCGCAGATCGTCGCACTCATTGGACGTTGCGTGCCCAGTCAGCACGAACCAAAGCCGCGCGGTGGGGGTGGTGCGCAAGGGAGACGAAGGAGGTCGCGGCACGGAGACGTGGTGGACAAGATGCACCATTTTGGAGATCGTTTTTGATGATCTCGAAGCCTGAAGTCTTCGCTCAAAAGTGCGTGGAGAGGCGGAACCAGCCAATGCGGGAGGGTCAAGCAGGTGCAACCGCTGTTAACGGCTCATCGTCCGGGGATCGTGACCTTTCCGGCCTAGACGTTGAAATGCGTGAGGTACGACCTTCGGAGCGATCCCAAATCATCGACTGTCCGACCCTTTCCCCAAACCAAGCCAGAATCATCCATTGTCTGAGGTTCACCGGCCTTATGGCTATGATCATGTATAGTACCTGTTCTTACCAAGCCGAAGGAAAAAGTGCTCAAAGAGTTTCGCATGGTAGCGGAGCTGGGCCGCTTAAACAACCAGCAGCTATGGCATGAGGGAGCGGGCGATTCGAAGCCCGCATCCCTTGGAGCGTGAACGCTCAGCCGGACCGGTAGTTTTGGGCCGATCGTTCTGGTTGCATTGGAGGTGGATTGGGGTACAGACAGCAGTTGCATTGATTTGTTTTCTTGCCATTGTTGTTGGGTTTGATCACTTGATCATGGCGGACGGATCAGGTGGTGCAGATCTTGGAGCCCTGACCAATACATTGCAACAGATGATACAGGAACAGCAACATCAGCGACAGCAGATCGAATCATTGAGTCAAGCAGTGCAAGGGACGGGGAATGCAGTTCAGAATACACAAATTGTCACAGAGCAAGTGGTGCATGAGGTGGTGACACAAGTTCAAGCTGGGTTTCAACAGGAACAACAGCAGAGTCATGACCAGTTGGTGCAGGTTGGAACGATCTTGACCACATTGCAGGAGCAGATGCAACAGATGGGTCAGGCGCTTCAACAGGTTCAGCAACAACAGGTCCAGTTAGCACCACCGGTTTCAGGAGCTGCATCAGCATCAGGGGCTTCACCGCCCGGGTATCAATCGCCGGGTGGACAGTCGCCGGTGCACAACCCCCCTCCTGTGCCTGCAGGGCCATCGACGGCTGCTGGACAGGTTGCTGGTGGTGTGACGCCGAATGGGGTTGGAAATGTTGGTGGGCCTCAAGTGTTTAACATTGGAGGAGCTGGCAACATTGGAGGCCCTGGTTTTGGCGGAGTTGGCCCAGGTGGTATTCGAACAAGTCCGGCTGTTGCATATGCAATTCAACAAGGTGGAGTTGACAGCAAGCAGTTGGGCAAGCCGGGACTGTTCAATCCAACGGATGGGAAAAGCAGTTTCTTGGATTGGGCAGATAGCATCATTACGTTGAGTGATTCAAACATGCCTGGCATCTATGAAGTGTTGGAATGGATTGCAACATCACAACAGAAGACACCCATGACACAAGGCGATGTTTTGTTGCATTTCCCTCACTTGGACCCATTGTTGGTACAGTATGCGGATACAAATGTTTATGCCATGCTGACCACGTACACATTGGGTGAGGCTAGGAGTTTGGTGCGACAGGCCAGGAGGCCCAACGGCTTTGAGGCATTCAGGTTGCTTCAGATTCGGTTCAACCCGGTCACCATTGGCCGTCAAAGAGCTGACCTTATGAAGATCACCAACCCGTCGGCAGCGATCAGCATTGACAGATTGGCGGCGGAATTGGTGAGTTGGGAGAACCTGATTGTGCAGTATGAGTCGAGGCCAGGAGCTGACCGTGTTTCTGATGCTATGAAGATGGCTGCATTAGTTCACATCGTTCCGAATGCCTTGAAACAGCACTTGCATATGAACGCTGCAAGATACACCACATACCTTGAACTCCGTGAAGAAGTTATGAGTTACATTGAGCAGGTGGCACCCGTGGCATCAACAACAATGGATGTTGGGTCAGTTGGGTTGAGCAAGGGAGGTGGTTGTTACAATTGTGGAGGTCCTCATATGCAGAAGGATTGCAAGAAGGGCAAAGGCAAAGGAGGTAAGGAAGGAGGAAAGGGGAAGGGCAAGATCCCCGATGGCGGCAAGGGAAAAGGGAAAGGCAAAGGCTTTGAAGGGAAGAAAGGTGGAGGAAAAGCCAAGCCTGTCTGTTACAACTGTGGGAAGACGGGTCATTACAAGGATCAGTGTTGGAGCCGTCCCAAGCCCTTGAACGCAGTTGACAAGGAGACCTCACCTTTGCTGTCTCAGTTGCAATCGAGCTATGCCAAGGCTGCAGTAGAGGAGTTTCAGCGGTTGAGATTGACAGGAGCTTCATCATCGTCGGCACCCAGTCCGCCCGTCGTTCAGGTTTCCACTCCATCGTCCCCAACATCGCCGGGCGCGGCGTCGAGTGCAGCGCCAAAGCATCCAGTGAGCGCTGGGAGTTTGACCATCAAACACTTGTGCGCATTGAGCAGGGCGTAGGCCATTGCAAGGCGCATTGTGGCGGATGCAGAGCAGGGCCGTTTTGATGAGATGGAGTGTCGCATTGAGCAGTATCTTCAAGGTGCATGTCCATTGACAGTGACAGTTGATTCAGGAGCCGCAGCGTCAGTTGCCCCAGCAGAAGCTTTTGCAGAGCATGAGCAATTGGCCCCAGTTGACGGTGTGAGTTTCTTGAGTGCGAACGGAGAGATTGTTCCAGAGTTGTATCGAGTGAAACCTCTCATTGTGACAGAAGAAGGAAAGGTGAGGGGAACAGAATTCAGCATTGCTCAGGTGCACAAGGTCCTCATGTCGGCCGCTCAAGTTGCCAATCGTGGTCATCGGATTATGTTGGCACCCTATTGGGAGGACAGCTGGATTGAGGAGATTGAGACCGGAGAGCGGATGCAACTACATCAAGAAGAAGGTGTTTATGTGCAGAAGATGCATGTTGTGCATCCGTCGCGTGAGGGTTTCAACGGGCCGGCACCGTGGATCGTGCCTCCAGCAATCTAGAGGTGAGTCCAGAGTATGCTGTAAGTCCTGATCGGTCGTTCTTCATTCATGCAGTGAACGCGGAGGAGGCCGAGGAGGAGACGACAGCGGCTCGTGATGAGGCCCATGAATTAGCAGTGCATCCATCCAAGTTCTGATGTTTATGGCGCAGGTCCTATGAGCTTGAACGTAGACACCAGTGACTATTTCCCAGAAGGCTGGGAGGACTATGAGGCGCCTGGGGAAGGTGTCGGTGAGGAGTTGCATGGAGAATTGAGTGGGGGTGAGGAGATCGAGAAGATCGCACAAAGCACACCCTTGAAGCCAAGTGCACAGGAGGTGGATGAGCACAATGTTACTCATCTGCCATATAGGAGTTGGTGCAATCATTGTGTTAGAGGCCGTGGACGAGCGCTAGCACATCATCGAGTGAGAGAAGATGCTGACGACAAAGCAAGGAGGAGGCCTCGGGTGAGCGTGGACTACTTTTATCTTGGACGGCGGGAGGAGGAGTGTTTGCCTCTTCTGGCGATCTTGGAGCAAAGAACTTTTTCAGTGGCCATGCCGTGCAAAGGGGTTACAGATCATCAGTATCCAGTGACCATTGTTGTCAAGTTGCTTCGTTGTTTGGGCTTGCAAGATGCAGTGTCGAAGACTGATACAGAACGGTCTTTGGTGGCACTTCGCAATGAGGTTCAGGCGAGACTTCCCGGTGTTGGCTTTGAAGATGCTGTCAAAGGGGAGAGATGGACCCAGAGAGACTGCAGTGGGTAAGCTCCAGGGAATGTGTCGGACCTTAAAGTCAGCTTTGGAGGCTAACTATGGGGCCGCCATATCTTCTCGACATCCAATCTTGCCTTGGTTGATTGATTATGCTGGGACTTTGCTATCTCGATTCAGTAGAGGACAAGATGGCAGAACTCCTTATGAAAGATCGACAGGGAAACGGTGGCAGTTGAAGCTTCCTGCATTTGGGGAATGCGTTCTTTTTCAGAGATTGAAAGGTGAACGGAATCCCGCCAAGGTTGAGCCTCGTTTTGAAGATGGGGTGTATCTGGGTTTGCAAGAAGGCGCAGCTTTGAAGTGGATTGGTACTGATCGAGGAGTTGAACGAGCTTGGAGCGTGAAGCGGAAGCCCAAGGACGAGCAGTGGACGAAGGCAGCATTGGAGTCTTTGATTGGGTTGCCGTGGCAGTTGAAGCCACCAGTGACTGCAGATCCAGGACCCTTGCGGCCGATAGAGATTGAGCTAGCAGAGGAGCCGAAGATGCCCGAGCCGGTGGCGAAGGTGAAGGGTAGGGACTATGTGCCAAGAGGTCTCTACATCCGTCGTGACGTGGAGTTGCAGCAGTTCGGATACACTGAAGGGTGTGATGGTTGCTTGGCAGCTCAAAGTGGACTTGCTCATCGTCAGCACAGCAGAGTTTGCAAGGCGAGGATTGCAAATGAGTTGAGCAAAACAGAAGAGGGTAAAGCCAGAGTTGAACGAGTTCAGGAACGTGCAGAGAAATACATTGTCGCTTACAAGAACAGAGAGGATGAGAGGAAACGCTAGCTTGATGACGGCAAACTTGCAGATGTGAAGAAGGCGACATTGAGGAAATCAGAAGATGAAGAGATCACAGAGCTTGATAAAATTCTTGGGCCATCTCCAGGTACTGAGTCTTCAGGTTTGCGGCCGCCAGATCAGAGTCCGGTCGAGTTGCTTCCAGGAGGACCACCCTCGCTTCATTTCCCTGGTCCATCAGTTGCACCGGTGGTGGAGGTGGGTGAAGGGCCCGTGGTGGTGGAGGTGGAAGATCTTGATGAATCGATGGTCATGGACGTTGGATCACTTGATCGAAGCCAAGAATTGAGCTTGTGATCCATGAGAAGAGAGGTCAGTCTTGATGAGACAGCGGAGCTCATGCTTGACGAGGAAGTGGAGGCTCGAAGGATCCTCCTGCAGACAGGAGCTTTGACCGTGAAGGCGGCCTACAGCTTCAGCAGTCCAGTGTTGGTCGAGCTTTTCTCTCCGCCAAGGTTGACAGACTATGCACAGAGGAGAGCGCTTGGACAAGGTCTCGCATTGGACTTGACAACCTGTGATGACCAAGGGGTTGCATGGGATTTTAATGTGAAGGAACGGAAGGACAGTGCATCAGAATTGATTGAGAATGTGAGCCCAGATTTGTTGTTGGGATGTCCCCCATGTCGCATGTACAGCTTGCTTCAATACCTCAATCAGTACAGAATTGATCCGGAGGAGTGGGACAAAGCAGTGACAGAAGCAGAGAACCATCTTGAGTTTTGTGTTGAACAATATGAAGCCCAGATGCGGAGGAACAAATTTTTCTTGCATGAACATCCGGCATTTGCTACATCATGGAAGTCACCATCGGTTGAACGATTGAAAGACAAGGAAGGAGTGTTTCATGTTGTTGGTGACATGTGTGAGCAGGACATGCGTGTGTCAGATGAGCATGGTGAGGGTTTTGCCAAGAAGAGTACAGGCTACCTCACCAACAGTGAATGCATTGCGCAGGAACTTTCCAAACGCTGCTCGAATGATCCAGATGCATTGAGCGTTTTCAGGCAGGTCAACTTCAGTGCAACAAAAGGGCAGTATCCGGGCCAAGGGGGCCCATCTTGGGAACGTGTGCAGAGAAGGGTGACGTTTGATTTGCAAGATTTGAGAGATGTTCATTCAGCCACAAAAGAAACGTTAGAATTCAGAATTCTATCGCAATGCAAACAAGTTGAGACAGTTTTCTACCACATCAAACCAGGCAAGGTATGGCACAGACATGTTCCCCTTTTGGGGGGAAAGGCAAAGCAGTGTGAGGTATACCCCAATCTTCTCTTGCGTAGTATCTTGAAGGGGCTGAAGAAAAGTTTTGGTCCAACAAATGAAGAAGTTGATTTGGACATTGAACTTGCACCCTCAGGTTTACAGCTTGCAGATGATTGGATTAGTTTTGTTGATGAAATTTCCGGCAAACCATTGTCGGCAGCAGGTGTGAGAAAGGCCAGAGCAGAAGAGATTGATTATGCCGTGCGATATGGTGTATGGGACACTGTACCCATAGCAGAGGCTTATCAATTTGATCCTAAAGGGCCAATTTCTTCTCGCTGGATTGACATCAACAAAGGAGACGAAGATCATCCTTCGTACCGCTCTCGCTTGGTCATCCAAGAGATCAGGCAGTCGCATATCGAGGCGGTGTTTGCGGCCACACCTCCCCTAGAATCCGTGAGGACGCTTTTGAGTTTGCAGCGAAGTTGCACAGATCTTGATAGCAAAGGGAGGAGAAAGAAGGTTCTTTTTGTTGACATTCGCCGTGCACATTGGACAGCCCGTATATTCAGACGAGTGTACGTTAGACTTCCAGTGGAGGCGGGAAATCCAGAAGGAACTTGTGGCCGGCTCAACAAAGCCATGCATGGCTGTCGTGACGCCGCAGCATGTTGGGAGCTTGCGACTTCTTTACAACCAACGGTTTTGCTCCTGGCATTGGCAGCCCAGTTCTTTTTGTCAACACTACAAGAGACTTGAAAGTTTCGATACACGGTGATGACATTACAGTGTTGGGTTTTGAAGATGATTTGATGTGGCTTTACAAACAGATGGGTACAAGATATGAAGTTTGGGGGCTTGCTTGGTCCAGACAAGACAGATGTTCAGAATGTTGCCATTTTGAACAGGCTTGTACATTACGGTCACACAGCAACAACATTTGAAGCAGACCCCCGACATGTTGAGATTATTTTGAATGAGTTGAATTTGACAACAGCCAAGACAGTTTCGTCACCCGGTGTCAGCAGCTCCAGTCCTGATGAGGCATTGTTGACAGGTACTGATATCACAAGGTACCGTAGCTTGACAATGAGGGCGAACTACCTGAGTTTGGACAGGCCAGACATCGCCTATGCGACCAAAGAGTTGGCTACGAGGGGCATGCAGACTCTTACTCAGGGGCACTACAACGGCTTGAAACGGCTTGCAAGATACCTTGGAGGACACCGGAGGCTCGTGTGGCGCTATGCGGAACAGTCGGAGCAAAGCAAGTTGAACATGTTTTCAGATTCAGATGATGGTGGATGCCTCACAACAAGGAAGAGTACTTCAGGTGGTGCATTGATGCATGGCAGTCACTTGTTGAAATTTTTTCTCTTCAACCCAGCATGTGATCAGCTTGAGTTCAGGAGAGTCGGAGTTTTATGCAGGCATCAAAGCTGGGAGTGTTTTGCTGGGTGGCATTGCAACAATGCAAGATTTGGGTTGTGAGTTTTCAGCAGAGTTGGTATTTGATGCAACTGCCGCGAAGGCTATGCTTGCGAGGCGTGGCCACGGTAAGGCCAAACACATTGCACGATGTTTCTTGTGCCTGCAGCAGAGAATTCAGGATGGTGACATTGTGTTGGGCAAATGCGGCACCAATGTGAATCCAGCGGACTTGGGAACCAAACACCTGGATGGTGCCCGCATTGCCGAGTTGTTGAATCTCATGGGGCTGACATTTGAAGAAGGAGCCCATGAGATGGCCCTGAAAGCATAACGGATGGCATCATAGAGATGACCATCCGAGGGGGCCTGTCTGAGGTTCACCGGCCTTATGGCTATGATCATGTATAGTACCTGTTCTTACCAGGCCGAAGGAAAAAGTGCTCAAAGAGTTTCGCATCCATGCTTATCAATGTTGTGGTTGTTGTGGTTGTGGTTGTTGGTTGTTGGTTGTTGTTTGGGCGGTGCCAACCGCTCAACTGCTCCACTGCAGGTGATGTTCGACCCCATGTGGCGCATGACCGCGAAGGAGCCCCGATGTCAGTGACGCCGGGCGTGAGCCGGGCCGTCGACCCAGTCGTCGTCGAGTTGGCCGCGAAGGGCGCGATGGGACGTTCGGTGGGATCCAGGTTGGAGTTCTTTCACGAGGTGTTTGATGGAGAGGAAAGAGCAGTCGCAACAATGCTTTGGTCGAAAAGGTTTTAGATCAAGCACGATCAACTCCCAAAAGCTTGGCCGCAAGATAGCACGATGTCTTTAAGTTCTTTTTGGGCCAGTGGCGACTTGAGGATGAATTAGATGGCAAGTGGATGTCAATAATTAACAATACATAAACAATACATAAACCATACCCCTTTTCACTTTGGATGCTCCCAACAACTGCACATCTCTGCATGCATGATGTCCGTTGAGGGGTCTGAAAGCGTCCATCCCAACGGGGATCTCGTGGCGCCGGGATCGGCCTCCAGGAGCTGCAATCCGCACTTGCACGATTGTGCCTTGCCGGGACGTGGCTGGTCTCGGGGCCAGAGGAAGGAGGTTGGGGCTACATGAGGGGAAACCAAGTCACCAAGTCAGCAGATGACTCTCAGTGGTCATGGGGAAGAAGTTGCCATGTCCATCCATGTCATGGCAGTCCAACAAGTCGCGTCGCGGCTTATAGGTGACTGATTTCAGGTGACCTTGGTATTATAAGTCTATGTTGTTTTTTTCAGAGTTTGCCCGACTGATCTGAACCAACGGTTGCCGCTCGTTGGTCGAAAACAAATACCCGCCGTATTACCGTTAAAAGCCGAGGACTCATGCCTGATGCATCCGAGGCGTTAAAGCTGTCCAAAGACGACAGCTGATGTCTGAAGTGCCAGAGATTGGGCGATATGACGTGGGAGTGGGGTTGGGTCGGGACCGAGGAGTCCTGGAGTCCGGGTTTCAGAAGTGGTCGATTGACCATAGACCCTTCTCATCTCATGTTAGCTGTAACCATGGCATGTAGCACCCCCCAGATGGGGGAGGGTTGAAGCTGCTTGACTATCAAGAGTTCACTTTTATCATTCAATGTCCCCAGCCACATGAGCAAACACAATTTATCACATGTTTTTGGTACGTGCATTTTCTTGCAGAGCCCTCAAGAATACCAAGTTGAGAGGGTCTCATTTGAGGCAGAAATTGAGCAGAACATTTGCAGAGCGCTTGCACCTTTGATCTTTGTTTCTTGTTTCTAGTTCAACAGAATATACTTCCAAGGGTTGGAGGAGGTACTTCAAAGCCTCAGGCAACCTCAGGTTGCCCAAATGACCACCCAGCCCCACCGCCGACTTGGGCTGATCTTGGCTGTATTTTTTAGGCGGACTGGACAGAAGGGCAGTGGCCTGGACGGTGATCTTGCAGAAACCAACGTAACTTGACTTCGTGAGGAAGGGAAGCTCGAATCGCAAGACAGACAGTCCTTTTTTATTTCCATTTGTAGCCTCTATCTGTGTGGCCAAAATGGAGTAGGACTGTTTAATTTTAAGCACGTACGGAACTATGTCGCACTTCATGTCGCACTGCATGTTGCACATTATGCTTTGTACATGCCTGCCTTTTTGGGGGGGGCATCCTATGTAACAGTCCATGTTGCAGTCTATGCTGTATTTGCGGTCAGCCTCATTACGCAAGCATGAAGTCACATTGTATCCATCGTGCGTCTTTACTCAGGGGCGGCAATTGTAGCCGCAATTTACGGGGCATGTATTCGAGTTCTGTGCAGGCTGTGACAGATTTGTTCCAGTGCTATTTAACAAAGCTTTGCGCTGTCAAAATACTGTAAAAGTGTGCCGTGGCAACTAAATTTCACGCAAAATAACTTTCGGACTTAGTCAGACCAGTTTGGATCAAATTATTGTAGCAAAAGGTTAATTGCCTTTTTCAGGCCTCTCATTACTGAAGCAAACTAAAATTCATGTTGTTTGCACAAATGAGGATTTGCTAAACCCAAGCCCCCACCAAAAATGCAAAAAACAATACGCAAGGCCTGGCTGAGTTATAGCGAAAGTTATAGCCTAGCAGTCATTATTCACAATTTAGTAGTTGGCTAAACGCACCATGAGCAACAATGATCAAGAGATGGATCATGATGATTGATATCCAAACCCCATGAATCAAATCAAGGTATACGGTATATGATACTATTTTCTTTAGATGCTGAAATATTTGTACAGTACCACCATTGTTTGGCAGCAGCATCCTCAGCAGCATGCTAAAGCCAAGCTAACTATGATGTGATGATGTGGTTGTTGGCTCAACCCCTTTAAGGAGAGTTGAGTTTGAGTCAACACGGAACGGTCCAGAACGGTTCCATGGAAGTCTGCCGTGACAACTTTGCAGGTGTCATGGAACGGTTCAGAACGGTTCCATCGACGGAACGGTTCAGAACGGTTCAGACCTAATTCGGAACTAATCCATTTTGTTGAGGTTGTGACGCCGGAACGGTTCAGAACGGTTCCGTGGCACTCCCTTTTTCCACAGAATGTTTCTTGTAGCTGGCTTTGGCACACAACAAAAATATGAAAATGGACATATGACTGATATGACACCATATGATGATACTAAACAACAAAAGGACAGCATCAACTGATCAACTGGATCAAAAAAAGCAACAGTTGAGACATGTTAAGACTACAGTCGTTTTAAGTCACCCTTACGTTCTCAAATCGGGACCCTTAGTTCCGTTCTCAAGTCGGGGCCCATTGTTATTCGTCAACCTTAAGTTTGTTAAATACAAGTCAAAATTTTTGAGGGAACTCAATGGCAGTGGCACTGTCAATTTGAGAAAAATTCGAGATGGTTCTGTGGCTTGCACCTTGGAAGAACAACGAGAACCTTAAAGCTAGTCATACCGCAGAGTCACTGGGCGCTCTATCCCGCCTAGCTATTCTGCCTCAGTGTTCCTTTCCCGACCTTCTTGCTGAGGTACCCTTCCCCCTCCTTGATCCAGATCGGGTCTTACCCGGAAAAAAACAATCCTGGGAGACTTTACCGCGAGCAAAACCAATTTGGAACCGGAACCCTTCCAAGCCGGCTAAGAACTATATTCTGGAACCGTTCCAAAACCGTCCGGAACCGTTCCGGAACCGTTCTGATCCAAAAAAACTAACTCGAAAGCAAAAAAACAACCCAAGGGCAGCACAAATCCACGTAACAAAAAACACTTTACCGCGACACTTTACCACGCAGGGGCTGTCCAAATGACCGTCCATATTTTTTGCGAAGGACCGTGGAGGATTTTTTTCAACAATACAGCACTCTCAGTGGATTGCCAGGGCCACAATCCAAAATGTTTACCCTTGTGAGAAGTGAGAACAAATCTCTGCGATGAAGTGGATCATGTCTGCTGAGGCTTCTTCACGGCTTATCTATGTCTGTACGCAGTACTGATGTATACCCCCAGTCCGCTTGTTGGGCGATCTGAAATTTGTATTAGAGATTAACTGCATAAAACAACACTCGCAACACTAAAATGAACACAGAGCATAATTCAAGTCATCAGTCAGCAATAGTCAGCAGTCAGACGGCAGATAGGTTCAAGCCGAAACCCAGCAATCGCAAGACTTCGGCTCAACAGGCCGCAACCTTTGAAACAGCTGTCAGCTATGGCCCCGCGGCAACACTATTTAGGTCAAGTCTGACCAAAAGAAAGCCCGGGTCAATCATTTGTCAGTACTAGCATCAGTTTTTGAGATTTGTTTACCCCTAGTGACTCTAGTGGTATAAACACAAGTATCATCCGCGCGACTTCCGTGCCACATTGTCTCTGAGGTTGTTCTTATTGTCACTGTTTACGTTCTGGGTTTTGCTTATGCACTCACCGGCTCACCAACCACCAGTCACCATGTCAAGAAAACGGACGTTTGGAAGCAACTCCTACAGAAAAGTGGAACATGTAATGTGGCTGCTCTTGGGCTATTCTGATTGGAAATCAAGAACTCCAACCCCAAAAAGAATGTTCTCAACAAAACATACCCGCGCCCAAAAAGCTGTTACAATATTAGTGTACAAGGCAATCGCACAGTTTTGTTGCATAGGGCAACCACCGAAACATAGTCCCCGACATGGAAGTGGCTACTAACGGTTGCAATGCTTCAACGAAAAAGACGTTGATAATGTTTTTGCAAGCCAAGTGTGTCCAAAGATTTTAATGTTTGTTCCCCAAACAGACTTGCCAAACGTACTGCTGTATTCTCTCTCTCTCTATGCAAACACTACCCTCGACACGGACTGCAAAACCAACTGCAACATACTCCTTCTTCTGACTGAATGCCTTTCATGTTAGCCACAGGATAAGGCATCCTCATGGAATGTGGCCTGGGACATTGTTCTTAGTCTTGTACTCCAAAGAACAACGTAGTAATAGTTTGGGGATGTTGTTTTTTCGAGAGCACGCAATAATCTTTTGCGGCTCTTGTGCTCCAAAGCGCAGGCTTCTTGCATTTGTTTGGGTTGCGCCAAAAACCTATTGCATGTGTTTGGTCTCCCCAAAACCAAAATTTCCAAGAGCAACATAAATCTGTTACATCAGTTTGCTTCGAACTCATGAACCCCAAACACATTGTATGGAACCAGCAATGAATCTGTTACATGGATTCGTGCTCATGAAAGCATTTCCAGCCCAAATCTGTTACATGGACCTAATTTAAATGGACATACGTGACAGAACCAACCAAACAAAGAGGCTACAAGTGGAAATAAGTCCTTTTATATCCTTTTCTTAAAGCTGACATGTTCCTTCCAAAGAAATCCGCTTTGAGGTCATACCTACAACAATGTGCAAATCTAAATGGTTGCCAGAAAAGAAATAAGCCACACGTAGCCACATTGGCTTGGCTCCAGTGGAAAGGACAAGACGGAGAAAACGAGACCGAATCCTGATTATTCTCGACAGTCATACCCAGTCATACATGTTTTTTCGTGGGGATGAATTGCTCGTTGTTTCGTGCCACAAAGCTTAACACCTTGGTACATTTCGGGTGGACCAGAAACCAGGCTACAAAGGCAGAGCATATATCTTCAGGGACACCTTGCACATCCGCCATTTGATCGTTCAGTACTGGAAACAACTGCTTCCCCACGTGACAGTATTCTCCACCCAGTCCGAAATAGAGGATGATGACTCTCGACCCTTTCAATTGGAATGTGAGTGTGATAAACATGGAAGAAACGACTCCATCGACTTGCCACCTCCGTGTTTTCAGGCTCAGTCAGGACCGAGGACCGAAGGACGTCCAACGTCACGTCCACTCCGGTCCTTCTGTTCAACAATTCACACGGCAACAACTGCCAATGGGCCAAGAGCTTCCTTGAAATGGGCCAAGAGCCAAACCTGATGCTTTTTGGATGCAAGAAGCACATCATCATATGTCCTGTACAAGTTTGTTTCATGGCATGTTCAAGGACAGCCCGATCCATCACAAGCCCAACATGGCACACGACAGCCGCGAGGTACGTGAGATATAACACGTGTCTCAATCATTTGCCCCACAAGAAGTCCTTTGGTCCCTCAAAGAAGATATATATATTTTTTTTGGAACATGGCCAGGAACGAGTCGTTTGAAACTTTTGAGCACTTTCTCGCGGGTTTGAGCCATCAACAAATCAGGAGGGGCTGGCCATATTGATTGATCATGCGGGGATGAACAGGGCGAAGCAAAAGCGAGTCTTCTTATTCATATTCCACTTGAAGCTCTCGACCGGCTGGAATTTGCTCACAAACATGTGGATGTGAGCCAGACGGAATGACCCCCCCCCCCCCCCCCGAATTTTGCGGGGGCGGGTGCAGCGAGTTGTTTCTACCTCAGTCATGGGAAGCCGGCTATGGAACCCGAGCTCGATGGCCTCTTTAGTCACCACAACAATGCCGTCAGCCAGCAGAGTCACACGTGAGCACCATATGAACACCAAGTTCAACAACCTGTCGCTCCAATCCCCCACCCAACTGAAAACATCTGGAAACGCCAAACCTTCTTTTGGAACTTGAAATTGGTCTTGAAACATTATCTTGAACCTCAACGATACACTCACAAAAGCCTCCCAATGTCCTTCAAATGAGCCCACCACTATCCACATGCTCTAGAAATGCTGCACCCGCGGGGAGCCGCGCGTCGCCGCTACGGTCGCGGTGCCAACCGAGCATTGCGGCGGCGGGAGTTGGCAGAGAATGGGGGAGCAAACCTCCAAAGCTGGCTGCCTGGTGAGCCAGGAGGAAGAGCAGAGAAACAACAGTATGTATGAACAGATCAGGCAGGTGCTCCAGCCTGTAGATCTGTAGGAAGTGCCACCCATTCAACTGTCCTATGGCTTTCAGGCTCCTTTGATTAGGACATGCCGCTGCCTCCCCAGGCTGTCCGGAGAAACCACAAACGAAGAAGTTCACGAAATACAGTTTCTTCCTTCCAGACATTTTCTGGGAAGTGCCAAGCTTGCCCTTCACTCAAATCTTTGATACTGACCACATCCGACCGTTTTTTTGTGTGATGCCCTGACTCTGAACATTTGGAGCGATGCTGGCTCGAAGGAGATGCAAACCACACCAGCACGTGGTTGTTATTCCATTTTTGTGGGCTGTATTGCACTCCCACCCAGATTGTCAAGGAAGCGCTGGGACGCTTGTGTCAATCCATCGCCCTTCCATACTAATACTATGCACCGCACATTTCCATGACAACAGCACAGATAGCTTTGCTCACAGCTCTCCACTATCCACTTGGACGCTTCCTTTGCAGTGTTTCACCATGTCGGACGCGATGGCGCTGATCTCTGCAGGGCAGGAGCTCATTCGCAAGTTGAAGCTCGAACTGGCCTCGGGACGTTCATGGTGTTTCTTCAAGGGGACCATGTGGACCTTTCTGTGGACCCTTCCGTGAAAGCAGTTGGACTCAACAGGACTTGGACCACAGGAGGTGGACCCATTACTGACGAATGAGCCACAAGTCAATTTAGACTATCATAATACCTATGCCACCGCACACGCCTATACTCCCCTAAATAAAACAGACACCAAGCCCTGGAATCCCTAGAAGTTCAACGCGAAGATGTATGTGTGTGTGTGTGTGTCAACTCCTGTCCCTAAGGAGCTTTGTCACGCCAACTACTTTGGTTTAGCTTCACTATTCTCGTTTAATCTTTGTACAGTCCCACAGTGGGCAGAGGGATCTCCAGTTGTGGCCTTTGCCAGCGAAGCTCCACACTGGACGATCAGGTAAACGTACCTGCAAACGTGGGGCACCTGGGCGCATTATAAGTCGCAGCTGGTGACCACATCATTTCTCTTTCCAGCTGTGATGTTCACAAGCTGTGACTCCCATCTCCTTGTAAAGAGCCAGCGCATAATGGGCTAATGTTAATGCGCGTGTTCAAGCAATACCGTTTGGCCGATCTTTCGCTTTGCAGTTCCTGCGAGTCAAGGTCTATAATGTAATCAGCAACTATCACGGGAGTTTCCATACTGATAGGGCCCTTGCTAATTGTGTGCTCCACAGCACAGGTACCACTGCAGCCAGGCCCTCCTCCTGCGGGCCAACCTCCACCAGCAGCTCCTGCCACGGCATCCACCACTTCTCCAACTTCAGCCACTAAGTCCGCCGCACCACAGAGCAACGCAGCCAACACAGCGAACTCCACTCCAGCTGCTCCATCTCAAACACCTTCCACCGCTCCATCACATGCAGCGCCAGCCGCTCCACCACCTGCCAAAGCCAAGACACCGACACCAAAGCCACCCAATCGACCAAAGCCTCTCAAAGGTGTACGGGCTCCACCACCCATCCGGCAGCGATCTCGCACACCACCTCGCCACGACACTTCCACAACAACAGGCTCACAGGACACACGATCTTCCATCCACCTATTACCCAACCCACACTTCAGCACTGGCTCACACACACACACCCTCAGCCTCTCACCACCCATCCCACAAGTCACAATGGGATGTTGAACTACCAGCACCCACGCGTCGTCCCCTCGCACCTTACATTGACACCGAAGCAGCTACCGTGGCCACAGCAACGCCCGCTGATCAGATCTACCGCTTTCGTGCTCATAAATGCGATCGATCTGCTTCATGCATCCAACACACCGATGCTCTGCTACATTGCACGGCTGCTCACTGCGGCCAACATTTTTCCGGAACACCTCAAGGATCTCCAGCTTTGGACGCACAGCGACTGGAAAGACCAGTCTTCACCACCAGTCTCTTCTCCCTACATTCCACGCCTGTCCCAACGAGGCGGCAGCCACATTCCACCACGACGCCGAGAGACTAACACTCAACATGGCGTCAAACACAATTTTGCGGCCACGCGACGAAAAACCTGATCAGCCTACTTCAGTCGTCGGGCCGCTTCAAACCCTAGCAATCTCCACGATCGACCACTGGAATATCGCTAGGGTGGCGAAGACGAACGGTCTGACAAGAACAGGGCCAAAGTTTTCCTGCATGTCATGGCTTACGGCACGGGGGCGAAATTCACTAGCGGCGGCGAAGCTGAAGGTGATAGGCTGCTGCGTACAGGAGGAATCCAACATCCCGATAATGCCATTAATGCCTTGATCCGGGGAATTATGGGAATTGCTTGGCAATGTTCACCGAGCCCTCCGGATTCTTTCAGATAAAAAGCGCGTTTGCTTCTTTTGAGCCCGTCCTCTCCCCCATCGCTGTGTTTTTATTCACATGCATGGCTGGCCAGAGAATTCAAGTCAATCCCTCTATAGCACGCCGGGGTGGAAGAACATAGATGCCGAGAACGCCAGCCGCGTAATTAATTCAGGCGCATGGCTCAGAGCGTAGTAGCACTCCTCCTCACCTCTTCAGCTCATGCAATTTGCACATAGTACCAGCCAGCACGATCATCTTTGCAATCTTGCATGCATTCATTCTATACAACTTTCTTTCCAAGAAAGCTGTGTGTCACCAATATTTGATTGTCACTGACCTGCATTGAGCCTTGTTGATTTCGCCTATTACCCATCTCACCACTCAAGCAGCGCAGCCATTTTGCCACATCCTGGATACCTCCCTCTTGCATTGTGCCCATTCTCATGGCTTCTTCTCTGGCCAACACATATGGTCTCGCATCGACGACTCACTCTACGAATGGGCCACCGAAGGACCGACCACGGTCTGTGGGAGCTCACTTCTTAGCCATACCATTCGCGTCTCACTCGTGCCCATCGTTGCTGTACCAGTGAGACGACCAATATGATGCTGCGGACCCCGCCTGCTGTTCCGGCGGTGGCTAGTCATTCCTGCCTGCGTCTGGTTGGCCAATAGGCAGACCAATCCTGCTTGTGGTCCTGATCTGCCGTTGGCCCTGGGGCGTGAGCGAAGCTAGCTTGTGATTTCATCCCAGATACCTGGCGAGCCTCACTGGGCGCTGTTGCTGCCGCCGCCGCTGCTGGTGCCGCAGTGGTAGGTGGCTCCGCCTCCACCACCGATTGGGTTGTCCAAGTGGGGTTGTGTGTGGTCCACCAATAGCTTGGCGGCGCTGCGAGCGCTGGCGCGCTTGCAGCGCCCTCCTTCAACCCAATGGCCGCACATGTCACGTTCAAGCACCCCCATCATTGAAGTTGGCTCATCCATGGCGGTGGTTTTTGCCACTTGCGGTGTTGGGCCCCGCCGCGGCGTCACGTTTCGTGGAGTGACTGCCTCTGCGGGTGCGACATAAGCAACGCCGCTGATGTTGTAAACGATGGTGCTCCCACCTCTGCTGCAACAAAACACTTGCTGGGGTGGATCGGTTGTCCTTGTGCACTTGGTTTCCCCTCCATCGCAATCACATACCTCGGTACGTTTTGTCTTGTCTTCTTCTCATGTCTTGATTTTTTGTCCCTCTTGCGTGCACTTGTGCACATTCATTGAGCCTCCCCTCATGGGAGGCGTGTGTGTGTGTAACCCTTGCAGCCACAGGGATTCCTTCGAATGTTTTCTTTATTTCAGCAGGGGGTCAAGGCGCGATATCACCAACCTTGACCAACGAAGCTGGGTGATATCGCGGGACGTGGGACTTGGCCACTCCCACGTACCTGCTCTAATCTAGGGGGTAACGGAGGAAGGGTTCGTCGGCAGACTTGTCTGTCGGTTCCCTTCCTTCTTTTACCCTACTTCTACCTACTTGTAAACTGGTAATGTTGGCCTCCAACCTGGTGCCATGGCCTCTAACGTACTAATGATGACCTCCAACCTTGTTGCTTGATGCGGTGTTTTGAGTTTGTGTCTTGTAGTTTGTGTCTTGTAAACTAGTAGTGCTGGCCTCCAACCTGGTGCGATGGCCTAGCGATGACCTCCAACCTTGTTGTTTGATGCTGCTTTCAGTTCGTGTCTTGTAGACTAGTAGCGCTGGCCCCCAACCTGGTGCTATGGCCTCCAACCCATTAGCGATGACCTCCAACCTTGTTGCTTGGTGTAGCTTTGTGATTGCGCGCATAACCTACTAGCGATGGCCTCCACACTTGGGCGATGGCCTGCAACTTTCGAACGATGGCCTCTAACCTACCAGTGCCGTTTTACTCAGGCAATTGTTTACCTAGTTTGGCGTGTGGCAAACCGCATCAGTGTCCGAATATCTTAAGTGTGTGTGTGTGTGTGTAGGGTGGGAGAGTCGTGATGTTTCGTGCGCTTCCATATCAAAGTGCGAGTTTTAGCCATATTGGATCAACAATTTCCTCTAGGGTTGGGGCAATGGAAATTATAACGGTTGCAGGTGCCACTCTCACAAAGTTTCATGAGGAGGAATTGGCCTACATGGTGGAGAATGGACGTTCTGTTAGGGATCTGAAGATGCTCCTGGCGGATCGAGTTGGGTTCTCGTGGTTTCGACAAAGACTCTTGAGTGAAGAGGTGGGTGAGTTGCACGATGATACGCCTGTCAGACCACTACCAAGTTTGCAGTTAGTAGTCTTGGATTACTGTGCGCCTGAGGAAACCAATTGGCAGGCACTATACCTTGCGTGTGAGAACAATCAAGTTGTCGAAGTTACAAGGTTGCTTCAGAAACCACTGAATCCTAATGGGACATGTGCAGACATTGACCAAGGCGGCGCAACCGCCTTGATGGCTGCAACTAGCAATGGCCACTTGGAAGTAGTGCGTTTGTTGCTCGAGGCTAGAGCTGACCTCAACACAGCAAGTCACGAAGGGACAACCGCCTTGATG